GAGGAGGAGACCCTGGAGACTCTGCCTGATCGCGTAGCGAAATGATATGGACCGCCGCAACCTCACTTGGGGTTGTCTCAAAGCTTCCTTTGGTCACGCTCAGCTCGACTAAGAATTTTGGGCCAGAGCCCAGCGCGAGTTCTCTTTCAGTAGGTACTCTCTACCTTGGGGGGGGGTCATGACACGGGCCACCGAGTTTGCCCAGCCAGGGAGACAGCAAATGCACAGTTCATTGGTTCAAGGAGCGCTGGCGAATGAAGAGTCCATGGGAAGCACCAGCCCTAGCCCAAGCACGGGTCAGGGTGCCCGTGGCTTGGGGGGGTGAACGTTGCGGTGAGTGGGGCGGAGTGGGCACAACAGACATGCAGAGAGAACACCACAAATTACGGCAGTACGGCATTGGCCGTATTCGAGCGACATCGTAAAAAATAGCGGTGGCCAGAGAGAACATACATAATGTTGCCACATCTGCAAGGGGTCAGACCTCCGACGTCTTGGCTTTAAAGATTCGGCCCCTCTCCCCCCCCCTCCCCCAGAATTCGAGAAAACGTTGCGCCGCCGGAGGCCTGGGTATATGGATGTTCTTGTCCTGGCCGACTGGAGTCGGCACGAACGAAGTGGGCACGGAAAGACTGGGTACAATGCCCAACAGCAGTTCCTGCTCATTTCGAACAGGACTCGCTGTCCGCGCCGCCGCGGGCGTGGTCCAATGAAGATAAGGAGCCGCCTGCCCAACAGCGGCCGCTGTCGGTTTTGAACAACATTTGTTGTTGGGCATTGTATCCATTTTCTCCGTGCCCATTTCGGGCGTCCAAAAGGAGTGCTCTTGGTCGGAAATTGGAGCATATACATTACCAGTGCCGGGCGGTTTTTCAATCCCAAGACTTTTTTGAGGGTCGGGGACGACGTCGGGGTGGTGTGGTGTATATTTTTCTCCCCGTTTCCCTGGGGAAGCAGCGAAGAATGTATACACCAGGATCCCGTAAACGCCAGGATCCGTTTTTTTCCTGGGCGAGATTCGGTGTGAGGCCAGACGAAGGCGTCCGTGTCTGGAGTTCGGGTTCCCTGCTTGGCCCTCCCCCCCCGTCGCTCCGGGCAACGGCAAGGGGATCGCCCGGGAGGCCGACGCCTCCTCGAGGGGAACGTCGGGAGAGTTTTGGCTCAGCGCGTCGCGCCACCGGCTCGGGCCCCACCACGCCTCGGCGCGACACGCCATCTTTAAGTCGGGCACGTCCCTCTACAGGAGTAGCCAAAAAGAGTAAAAACAAAAAAAACAAAAAAATAAAAAAAAAAAAAAAAAAAAAAAAAAAAAAAAAAAAAAAAAAAAAAAAAAAAAAAAAAAAAAAAAAGTCTGGGGGCGATGTTTCTGCTATGTTGGGCTACCTTCGGGTACTTTCTAATTTTCGTCAAGAAAGTTCGCCTGGACATGCCCGACCTGACGCCATCCCCGTCCCAGCCCCCGAGCGCCGACGCCCCGAGCCTTTCCTGGCCTCCCGCCCCGCGGAGCAGGGCGGCACGCGCCGCGTGTCGCCGGGGCCGCCGCGGCGACACGCCACAAACAAAAGTTCCCGACCGTAGGAACCCCTGAGGTGCCAGAACGTTATGCCTTCGGCGGCTTCTTCGGCTATGCTTTGGTGCCTTGCTGGTGCATCTAGCAGAAAACCGCGACGCGGAAAAAAAGCGACGCAGATGCGCCGAACGGCTCCGCGGACCCAAGCGTGTTCTGAGCAGCGCCGTGCGAGAAAAGAGCTCTTCGAGGCTCGCGGCGGTAATCTGGTTGACGGCTTACCGCCAGCTCCCAGTTGGACCACCCGACCAGAAGAGACAATGTGGCAACTTTGGGTTCAGGATATTCGCAAACACCCAAGATCTTCCAGATACCTTCCCAATCCTCGAACCTCGATCCTCGGGAGCACCTGTCCCCCCTTGGGTTCTGTCTGCCTCGAGGCCTGCAGGGAGGCCTCCTTCGAGATCGGGGTCGCCGCCGGCGTCGCCTTCGCCACGTACGCGTCGTTCGCGATTAAGACCTACCAGCGCCTGAAGGGGGAGGACCTCCCCAGCGCGCCCTCGACTCGCTGTCTGGCCCTTCCTCCCCCCACATCCTCCTTCCTCCTCCTCCTCCTCCTCCTCCTCCTCCTCCTCCTCCTCCTCCTCCTCCTCCTCCTCCTCCTCCTCATATTTATCTTCATCCTCCTCCGTTCCTTCTCATCCTCTTCTCCTCCTCCCCTCCCCCTCCTGTCTCCTCCTCCGCCTCCTCTCCTCCAACTCCGCCTCCGCCCCCTCCTCCACGCAGAAACGGGGATTGTGGCGGCCCTCGCCTTTCGGATGGTGTTTTCGTATGGGTTTCCTAAGAGTATCGCATCCTTCCTTCCTCGTCTTCCTCCTCCTCTTCCTCCTCGTCCTCTGTTTTTCTCCTCCTCTTTCCTCCTCTTCCTCCTCCCCCCCATCCTCGCACAACTCCTCGTCGCCCTCCCCTTCCAGAAGCAGCACTGGCTTTTTTGTGTTGCTCTCCCCCCTCAAAAAAAAACTTGCGTCGCCCCACCAGTGTTTGTGTTTTCGTTTTCTTATTATTCTTTTTGTGGGGGGGAGAGAAAAATCCTTCCTGGCACTTTCCGATGAGCTTTCCAATGAATTCCTTTGTGCGGATTTCCCTTACAATCCCTTTGGGGTGTTTTTTCAATGGATTCCTGTTGAGAAGCGTTCCAATAGAATTCCCTTTGCGGCGCTTTCCAAATGATTCTTGTTGTGAGGAGTTCCAATTACGCTACCGAGGAACCCCACATACCTAACTTAAATCTTGTGTGTTTGCTTAAGTTTATAATATATGCGCAATTCTGCGTTCCCAGCCCTCGTCGCGAATGTTCCCCTATGTGTCATCCAACGCCATATTGCTTGAACCTCCTCCCTCTTCCTAGCCTTCTATCCTCCGTCGAGGACAGATTCGAGCCAGCCAGCGGCCGCGGTGAGGGACCACCCCCTGCGCACCCTCGATGGTGTCGAGAAAGTGCCACGCCTGCTATGCCCTGGACGACCGTCGTGCGTAGCGGCCGCGGTGAGGGACCACCCCCTGCGCAGCCTCTATGGTGTCGAGAAAATGCCGCGCCTGCTATGCCCTGGACGACCGTCGTGCATAGCAGCCGCGGTGAGGGACCACCCCCTGCGCACCCTCTATGACGTCGAGAAAGTGCCACGCCTGCTATTCCCTGGACGACCGTCGTGCATAGCGGCCGCGCTGAGGGACCACCCTCTGCGCACCTCCTGTGGTGCCGAGAAAGTGCCACTCCTGACACGATCTGCGAGCGTGTCACGGATAGAGGCCGCGTTGAGGGACCACCCTCTGCGCACCCCCTGTGGTGCCGAGAAAGTGCCACTCCTGCCAAGATCTGCGAGCGTGTCACGGATAGCGGTCGCGCTCAGGGGCCACCCTCTGCGCACCCCCTGTGGTGTCGAGCAAGTGCCACTCATGCCACGATCTGCGAGCGTGTCACGGATAGAGGCCGCGCTGAGGGACCACCACCTTCTGCGCACCCCCTGTGGTGTCGAGAAAGTGCCACTCCTGCCACGATCTGCGAGCGTGTCACGGATAGAGGCCGCGCTGAGGGACACCACCTTCTGCGCACACCCATGTGGCGTCGAGAAAGTGCCACGCCTGCCACGCCCTGCGAGCGTGTCACGGATAGAGGCCGCGCTGAGAGACCACCCTCTGCGCACCCCCCTGTGGTGTCGAGAAAGTGCCACTCCTGCCACGATCTGCGAGCGTGTCACGGATAGAGGCCGCACTGAGGGACCACCCTCTGCGCACCCCCTGTGGTGTCGAGAATGTGCCGCGCCTGCCACGCCCTGCGAGCGTGTCACGGATAGAGGCCCCGCTGAGGGACCACCCTCTGCGCCTCCCCAGTGGTGTCGAGAAAGTGCCGCGCCTGCCACGCTCTGCGAGCGTGTCACGGGTAGAGGCCGCGCTGAGGGACCACCCTCTGCGCACCCCCATGTGATGTCGAGTATGTGCCGCGCCTGCCACGCCCTGCGAGCGTGTCACGGATAGATGCCCCGCTGAAGGACCACCCCCTGCGCACCCCCTGTGGTGTCGAGAAAGTGCCACGCCTGCTGTGCTTGGACGACTGTCGTGCATAGCGACCGCGGTGAGAGACCACCCCCTGCGCACCCCCTATGGTGTCGAGGAAGTGCCACGCCTGCCACGCCCTGCGAGCGTGTCACGGATAGGCCCCGCTGAGGGACCACCCTTTGCGCCCCCCCAGCGGTGTCGAGAAAGTGCCGCGCCTGCCACGCCCTGCGAGCGTGTCACGGATAGAAGCCCCGCTGAGGGACCACCCTCTGCGCACCCCCCTATGGTGTCGAGGAAGTGCCACGCCTGCTCGCCTGCCGCATGGCTTGCCGCGTGTATGTGTATGATGCGTGTGCGGCCATATCGGGACATATCTCACGTGTTGCCCAGTATGTCGTGCAGGCGTCTTGGGTGTACGATGCAGTGAACATGCGTCTTGTATGTGCGAATGTGTGCATGCGTGCGGCTGTGTGCGAGTGTGCGGGTGAGGAGGCGGGAGGCGTGTGACACGCGGGCGCGGCGCGGCAGGGAAGAAAACCAGAACCCCACGACGAAGCATGTGGGGAATAATCATAATAGTGATACTACTATACTAATAATGGCGGTCAGGATGTTTGTCGCCATGCAACTCCTCCTCAACCTCCCCCCCTCCTCCTCCTCCTCTTCCTCCTCCTCCTCCTCCTCTTCCTCGTCCTCCTCCTCGTCCTTTCAGCCTGTCAGCCTTTGAAACTACATGATCCCACGGCGTGAGACCCGCAGCAGAGAGAGGGGGCGAGCGGGACAGAGTGGGTACAAACATTTGGGCAACACAGCAGCCTCAACCTCTCTGAATGGGGATGCTGTGGCCGAAATATGTCTGTGCCGAATATGTCTTGGCGGAGGGGCATTGGCAGCATCTCGATTCGCTGGATGCCCGAGGCACTTCGCACCCAACTTCAAGATCTTAGCTCTGCCAAAACTCCCACACACCGCACAATAGTACAAACGCTGACTCTGGACGGACCCGAGACCCCCCAAAGTCGATGGGTCGAGCGCGCCTGGCGAATTAGTTCGGGGATACCTGTGCAACAAGTCAAGACCAGGCCCGCGTGAGTCCTCGATCGGGACAGGCAGATCGCACAGGCAAAACCTTTGCCACAGTGCTGAACCTAATGACCGTTCGGGCTCGCAGTATGAGCAGCCCGTTGGGTTTCGCCCTGGGCCTGGCCTTACAAAACTCAACATCTGGAAAACGACTGCGCGACCACTGACCAAGAATTCTCGCCGTGCAACGAGAAAGAGAGGAAAGACGCTCGGCCTGCCTGGCCCCCAAGTCCTGGAGGTGCTGCGAGTGGGGGGCCTCGCGGGCGGCCTGCTTGGACAGAAAATCGACAGCTCGATTGCCGTGCCACGCCCAGGCTGGACAGCCTAGGGCCTCAGCACACATCCTACTCTTGTGAGCAGGTACCTTAAAGAAAGTGACGGTTTCTGGGCCTCGGTCCAACATCCGAGCAAAAACTTCAATCCAATACTCACCGAAGGGCAAATCCGCACAGCCCCGGGGACACCCTCGGGACCAAACAGAAATCAGAGCTTCACACTCAATGCCTATTTCTAAATTCCCAGGCCCTGAATGCCTGAGGATCATGAGCACAGCGTAAAGTTCAGCCCCATAGATGTCCTGTAAGGGGCGGGGGAGCGGTCCTGACGCACTGGCCAGGAGGTCCCCAGCATCATTCATCATGGCGAAAGCCCATCCTGCTCTGCTACGGTGCCTGACCTTGGGATCCAGGACGGAGCCACCGGAACATATCTTACCTGAAACGAATCCGTCAAGCGGCGGAACGACCCACCTCCACCTGTCCAGAGTCTTGGGCACGGGGGGCCTTAAGGTGGGGGAGGTAAGGAGGCACCGAGTGAGGAAGGGGTCGTTAGGGTCCCCGCGTTCCCATTCAGACAGCTCCTTTTCAAAACCTTGGCCTCGTCTAAACAATTGGTCTCGTCGAACATTCTGTGAAATCTACCCCCTTCAGGAAAACCATGCACTTGGCAAGCCCCACTCAGAACCCGTCGATCCTGATATAAGTCCAGCTGTGTGACCAGTCCTCCAGAAACATGGGTAGCCAACAACGATGCCTCCAAGTGCTCTCCTTTCTTCCTGAGCTCCTCGCATACCTGGGCAATGGGCTCAAGCATGGGCCTGGAGCAGGTGACGCCGCCATGCTCCCACTGCAGGTCACCGACAGATACATTCTTAGTTGCCAGGTCCACGAGGCACTTGAGGCTGCGGCTCCTAAGCTTACTGAGGCCAATCGGCATCTCAGTCGGCATCAACCACTTGGAATAACTCTCAGGAACCCATCAAATCCCCTGAAGCGTGCAAACGACAGCCCCCGAAGGGCCGCGGACCTCAGACCAGGAAAGCTCTGGCAACTTCCGAAGGTAGAACCTGAAGACCTCCTCCATCTGCTGCAGGGGGGCCCACGAGCCCCAGAAAGCCTTGCCCCAGAATACCAAAGGAGCCGAGTTGCCGATATACACTGGACCGGCCGCCTCATTACCCGAGAGCGCAAACTGGATAGTTCTTGTCCGCCCTCGAGCTGAGCCAAAAATACCCTCAACCACTGCAGATCCGAGGCGCTGCAAGCGCTTGTCGGAAACTCCCATCACGCCAATTCCGTAACTGCCAGCTGGGAGGGCGCCCGTGCGTGAGATCGAAGTTAGCTTTTTGAACTGGGATTTAAGCGACGAAACCGACCAGCTCTCAACCTGATCTTTCGGATCCGAGTCTTCTGGATATGAGCAGCACGACCCCGAAGCGAATAATCACCGAATGCACCGATTTGAACCCCCACGTCTTAATCCCTGCACATATGCCAGCTGGCAGTTCGGCAGTAGAAGCAAGAACCTTACCTTTACTTCTGGAAATAATCAGCTGCCTGGCCTCGAGCCCGTCGCAGAGATCGCGCGTGGCCTTGACGGCCGAGTCCCTGACTAGCTTGGCGGTTGCGATTACCTGAATCGTGATGTCATCGACAATGTTAAAAAGCCTGCATATCTTGTGTGAACGAACCATGCTATCCAGATCAGCAATGACAAGAACCCGCAACAGTGTTGTAGCATATCCGCAACCTGCCAAGATAGTTGCACACACCACCGTGGGCCTGGAAACGAGGAGGCCCACGAGGAGCACGCGCGGGCAAGAATACTGGACCAGACAGAGGCGCAGGTGGTATAAGGGGAAATTGTGCTGCCGAGCAGCAGACAATAGCTGAGGGTGCTTCACCTTCTCGTACGCTTCGGTCAGATAAATCAGCACATTCGCAACATCAAAACGGTTTATTGACGCATGATCTGCTGCAAAAGCTTGCTCCCAAAATGCTCTCTCACATGCTTTCCCTTTCGTCCCATACGAGAATCCCCTCTGATGGTCCAACTCCCATTTCGCTGCTACACCTCTAGTACACCTGCTCCAAAGACGGACAGTCACACTCAAGAGTGCGATGAGCCGATAACCATCATCATCTGGCTTGGGTAAGGCTGGCTGCAAAGTAAGCGAAATCTGAGACGGCATCATCCCATCACGGAGCATCCAGCTCCATAATGCATTCAAAGCTTCCAAGCACGGCTCTGAAAGAAGCAGAACATCACGAGGTCCGAGCCTGTCCACGCCGTGAGCCGTCCACGCTTTCATCTTCCTAGCGACCGATCTGATCTCGTCAGGGCTGAAGCTCATGATGGGGCTGTGGAGGCCCTTCAACATGTATTTCAGCTGCTGGAACACACCTTCTGGATCTTCAAGGGGCCTGCTGGAGCCACTGGGGTCCCATATGCATTCCCAGTCCTGGAGATTCTGCTCAATGAGGTCTGAGGGCCCAGGAGGTGCTTGTCCTTGTCGGGGTACCACAGGGCGCCAGCCCACTGGGGGCTTAGTGTACTGGTGGGCACGACCTGCTCCTGCCTGCACTGCCTCCTGAACAGAGCCTCGCCACTGCTTGGCTCTGGAACTGGCAAACTGCGCCTCGAGCTTCTTAGCGTAGCCTCCAGCACGCTCACGCAAGTCATCTAGAGCTTCTGAGTCGCACCAGGCCAGATATCCTGCACCCAGATACCACATACTTTTCCATTCTTCCGTGCAACGAATCTCTGGAGTACCAAGCAGTATCTTGGCGAACAAAGCTGCAGCTCCTACAGCGTCCTTTACAGAGTCCTGGGCTCGGATCCTGGAGAGCTCCTGAGCCCAGTTCCCCCACTTCCTCCAGGCCCTGCTGACGGGGCACGCCGCAGGGTAGGGTCCAGAGGAGGGGGGAAGGGCATGGATGGTTTTTAATTTCCAACCCAGTCCTCGTCCAGTATATCTCCTCCACTCAGACTCAGGAATACCATGTACTGCTAGAAGTTCCTTTTCCCACAATCCCATGAAGCTCCTGAAGACTGTGTTCATCTGCTGCTGATCTCCTCCATCCTCCAAAACTTGAACAACTCCTTCCAATTCAGCTGGTGGTGCAGGATGGGGGCCTTGTGGGTGCTCTCGTGGGAACTTTCGAGGTGCCTGCAGAACCGTGATGTACTGTGGGGCCAGCTTGCCTCGAAGCCGCAGGGGCACTGGACGATGGGGCTTGACAGCTGCATTCAGCGCCACCGCGCACGAAACCACAGAAGGAGCCAGAGCATCAGATACTACAACATAAGCTAACGTGCGCCATTCCCTCCTACCTGCCGTGCAAGTAGGAGAAGCGGGGGCAATGATGCGGCCTCGAAGTTTACTCGCCCATCCAAGACGCCCCAATAGCGCAGGAGGTGCATTCCAATCTCCTCCGATCAGAAAAGGGAGTGAAGCCGCATGCAGGAACTCCCCCAACCGACTCAACAATCGGGTTCCCTCTGCCCCAAAGGGGTCCGCGGTAGGCAAATATACTGATACTGCCAGGATGCCTCCAGGTATAACAGCATTTATCCATTTCACCAAGACCCGATGAGGAAAAGGAGAAGGTTGAGGCCGTCCTGGTGGGTTCCCCATCCCGATGCATGCTGGGACCCCGATCGCAACTTCTCCAGAAAGGCCTCCGGCTTCCGTGGTACGAGATGGGCTTGCTGCTGCCAGCAGACCCTGATCACGCAACATCTTCTCGCAGTCGGTCTTCCGATCCTGCGAGACACCTACCTTCTGCAAGAGAAAAACCTGAGGCCCTCTTGGAGAAAAACTTGCTTTGCCAGAACTGACTGCTGTGCGAAAGACTGCTTCTTTGCTGCGAACCTGCGCCTGAGCCTCGACGTAGGCTAAGCACGGCTTCCAGCTCGTGGTATTCACCGTGCGCAGGTACAGGTCACCGATGTTAAAGTCATGGCTTGCGGCCTCCAGCCGCCTCTGTACCCTTGCCGTTGCCGTTGCTGCCCTTGCCGCTGACGTTGCCGCTGCTGACGCAAGACTGGGCCTTCTCGAAGAGTTCGTCGATGGATGGGGCTGGCTGGGGAGTGCTGGGCGCCGCAGACTCAGTCTGCCGCCGCGGCCCCCGCAGCTGGCGCAGCAGGGCTCGAGGGCGCCACATGTGGTGCCTGGCCTGGCCGCGCACCGCCTCCATTAGCTCCTGCATCTCCATCGCATCTCCTCCTCTTGGCCTGCATTCGCTGGTTGAAGCTGCGCTGCTCCTCAACCATCTTGGCACACTGAGCCTGCAAGGACCCAAACGCCTGCTTTGTCGCCTCCTGCACCAGGGCCAGCAGCGCCGCCTTCCGAGTGTTGAGCTCCCCCCTCTCGGTCTCGCTGATCTCGATGCCTTGAAGGTCCAATCCAAAAAGGCCGTTATCATCGAGGTCGATCTGCTCACCATCCAGAAGGGCCTGCAGACTGATGCGCTGCACGTCGTTGACCACGATGGTATCCTTGGGCTCCACCACCTCAGATGCAAGCTTGGCCACCGCTTCCTTATACGTTTTCTCACACCGGTCGAAGGTGGTGAAGGCCTCAGCAGCACGTGCACGTGCTTCCTTGGCCTGGTCCTCCAAAGACTCAGCCCGCTTGACTGCAGACTCCATCTGCTGGCGGGCCTGCTCCATAGCGTACTGCGCCATGCCGACCGTTGGGGACTGGGGCTTGGCGGCCTCCTCGAGCTGCTGAATGATGGCCTCATACTTGCGAGAAGCCGCAACATCTCCGATGGCCGCCATGGACTTCTGGGCATCACGAAGGCTGGGCAACTGCTCGATGGTGTAGTCATGTCGTACAGCTCCGCCGCCTGCACGCCAACCTCCACCACCAGCTGCTTGTCCCAGCTGCAGTCCCACTGCGCGAAGCGGAGCAGAACCCCCACCAGGGCCGAGAGCAGCATCGCGAGCAGGTGGAATCGCAAGGCTCCAGACCCCCGACGGCGGGGCTCCTGCTGCTGCCTCGACCTCTCTGCGGCCTGCACCGCAATGTTTGCACCAAGTCCA